GAGTCTTTGGGCTACATCTAAGAGATGAGCTCAGTGTCCCCAACCCTCACTCCTGGGAGACAAATGGCAGGAGCGGGACAGGCTCTAGGAAGCACATAGTGGTGTGCCTCAATTTCCTCATCTGAAACCTGAGTTAAAAAGACCTTCAACCTGAGCCCGTGGTTGTCAAGTTTTACTTAACACTTCACTTACCAGAGTTTGAGTGGCCTCTCACCCCACTAGCCTCATATAGCCCCCAACAATACAAATTTAGTCAGTCATTCTTTGTACTCTTCTCCTTCCTGGTGGCCCAAAGGAAGCTACTCCTCCATAGTCAGCATACATCAAACTCAGGACATGGCCAAGGTTCTTGTCCCCTGAACCAACATAAATATGTTGAGTTTACCTCCCATAACCCCAGAGTGAAGGCAAGCACAGGGGATGGGAGGTCAGGTGGCTTCGTGAGCTAGCCAACACCCAGGTTCCAGCTCATATCAGATGTTCAAGTTCTCATCATTCAGAACAAAGGTTGAGGGCCAGAAGCAGAAGCAGGATTTTGGGACATCACAGACTACTGAATGGTGGTATTCCAACCAAATTTTATTGTAAAACCAAGCTGGTCTATGAGTTGTGATTTGCTGTTCTGAACAGTTCTCTTCATCTCACAACTTGGAACACCTGCTAAGCTCCCTATTGTCATCTGGGTGTCCTTACCAGCCTGGAAGGACTGTCAAGTGTTATGTCCTATGGTTATAGCCCAATATTGTGCCTCCCCTCCACCAAGAAAAGGAAGGAAGAGAAAAGAAAAGCTTTAAGTTGTTGGGCAATAGCTATTCAAGAGGCTAAGACCAGAGAATCACTTGAGTCTAGGAGTTCTAGGCTATAGTGTGCAACACTGATCTGATGATACTAGTGCTATTTGGCACCAATATGGTGACTTCCCAGGAGCAGGAAACCACCAGGCTGCCTAAGGAGAAGTGAACTGGCTAGGTTGAAAAATGTCTAAGTATATGCTGGAAGAGTTGCAGCCTTGATCCTGAGCTGGGTGCAGAGGAGGAAACACAAACAACTGCTCAGAGCCTAAGAGAATGGAGAGGAGTTCTAAGTGGAGGGAACAACATGGGCAAAGCACCAAGGTAGGGCTAGAAGACATGGGTCCTCAGAACAGGTCCTCTAAAGCCTCCGACAATAATTTTTTCCCTGTCCTCCTTGGCCATGAAAACCTCCAACCTTGCTAAACCACAAGGCAGGAGGGACCAACTTCCTGAGCACTTCTTAGTCATACACTAGAAGAGTGGGTAGCCAAGCAATCTGGGCTCACCTCCTATCTCTGCCACTGTCTACAAGGCTTGAGCTTCAAAGTTAGGTATGTGGAAGTGAGTTCTGTGCTGAAGAAGCTGGAACCACGTAAGGGGTACCCATAATCAGCCCAAAGTCAGTGCCTGTTTCTTTCCACTTGCAACATCATTGGCTAATACCTGATAGTCCTCACAGCTTATATACCAAAAATCCTAAATGTTTTCACTGCTCATACACATGTGGGAAGTATCTCTGCTACTAATGTCTTCAATTACAAAGAAAAGCCACCTAACCCTGTTTCCACTATTCAGAGAGCAATGTACATACTTCACAATGAGAGCTGACTATCTACTCCAGTAGTACAGGCTTATGACTCTTCAGTCCCTGGACTAATGAGGGCCTGGGAACATCAGACACTGAGCATTAACAACCCCCTTCCATGCACATACTGCCTATATACTGTCCACAGAGGCCTTCACTAGGGAAGGCCTACACCAATACAACAGGGAACAGGCCTCTGGGCAGGGCTGGCCCCTGGAATTCTTTCTTCCTAAACCAGTTTGGTCATTTGATGCAGCAAGTATAACCCTAACCAAGCCAGGGAGCTGGCCTCAGCATTCCAATGAGGCAAGGTTTGTTCCAGGAAACACTTTCCACAACAAAGCTGGATCCTCCACGCCTTTTGTCTGGGCTTATCCAGCACCACCCACTAAAGACAGTAGGTCTCACATTTGTACCATGCCCGCCATCAGGGTGTATCCAGATCCTAGAATGGCTGGGATTGGAATCCCAGGAATCCTTGAGTTATACCAGCTGCTCACCCTGGCATGTCAGCCTGGGTAGGGTCCTTCCACGACCTGCTGAAGTAGAGATATTGTACTCTTCCTCAGGGCTAGGGGCCATGGTTTAAATGTATTTTTTATCTGTTCCAGAAACCAGAAACATCCCCTGTATGTTACCTTGCTTTCTATTCAGGCTCGTTGAATAACCCAGGGGATGGCACATGCATCCCATCAACCTTAGTACAGTCTTATTAACACTTACTAACACTAACATACCTGGTCTCTGATGCTGAGAGAGCAGACACAATCAGATTCCCTAGGACCCAACTGTTCAATAAATACCAATCCACTGAAGGATACACACACACACGCACGCACGCGCGCTCCTGAACTTGACAAGTCACAGGATTTCAACATTTGATTATTATCAATGTGGAATTCAATGTGTTTGAGGCCTGGAAGGAAGCTGAAATGGGTAGCAGAATGATGTGGGGACCTGGGAAGTGCCACCCACACATGTCTGTGAGTTTTGGGCCACTCAATGTAGCTGTTCAGAGTCCTGCATAACCAGGATTCCATAGGACACCAAATGGCATCAAATCTTATTAAATTCAAGATGAGACTCATGCCTACTAAGCTGCTATAAATACAAGCTCAATACTATTATTTCAAGATAAAGAATTTATACCATTAAGAGATTAAACTTATAATCAAAGTTTGATTAGATCTATTGTCACTGAATAAGCCTAACACATCATAAGTGAAAGTGTCAACTAGACAAAGAACCAGAGATTTGGGATCTCCACAACAGCAAATATGGAACAGGCACATACAGAAGACTCAACATCAGGGCTTGAGGACTCAACCTTCTTTCCAAGAAAGATCTTTTTATGAGGAAATGAGAGCACAAAGACATGTAAAATGACGCCAACATGGTCTAAAAAAGGAAGAAATTCCCTTTTATGTTTGTCCACTATGGGAGAAGAAAATACAACATTTCATAAGTTGTCTGTAAATCTAAAACTGTTCTAAGAAATAAACATTATAGAAAACTATGTTAGCATGTACTCAAACATGGAAACTGGGGGAAAAAGATCTCTTAAAAGATATATCAGGGAAGATATACAGAACAAAACAACAGGAAACTGAGTAAACAAAAAATAGTAACAGCATATCAAAACTGAGAGACCATTGCCAAGCAGAACTGCTGGGGGAGGGACACTGCACTGAGAACAATGATAAAAAGGAAGCAGCATCTCTACTCTGAGATTGCAGAAATTAAACAAAGTAGCAAGGCAAAAGTCTTACACAAGGAAAGTAAGGCAACAAAAACCCAGAAAAGAAGATTCTTATTTTTGTTGACTATTGCATTTACAATTACATAGTTCTACTCCTTGTCAGCTCAATGATACCCACATATGATTTTAAATTTCTCACTTCACAAACCAAACTACGACACAAATTAAGCAACACTGTACATAACACTAAAGCATTTTTCTACCTGCTTACTGAATTTACCAATAACTTAACTCTGTGTTGAAATTGCTGGATTCTCTCACTACTTTTCTGAGGTGGATGACTTATATTTCCTTTTTGGCATCACTCATTTTAATTTTACGGGTGCCAACTGATTATGGTATTATGTATGTGTTTAGATGTATGCCTATATGTATATGTATATCCTAGAAGAAAATGTTAAAACTTGGTCAAACTATATTTTTCCCATTCAAGTACAAAAATGTTTTCAAGGTTGTAAAAAGTGTATAGTTGTTAAATTGTAAGTAAAGACATATATATTTTTTTAAAAAGAAAAAAATAAGAAAGTAAGAGAAGAGGAAAAAGTCTTTTTTTAACCTAATGGTTATAATTCAGGTTGGTAAGCCAATACAAAGTCCATCACTCTAAATCTGGGAAGGAACATTTTCTGACTATATTGCCATTACAATCTGAGCACTGAGCTTCTATGTCACAGGTTCTACTTGGAATGTTGGGGCAAAAATAGCAACTGCAGGCTCTGTTGCATGGGAGATCTGAGCAAAGGGAAGGAATGCTTGCTCAAGAGGCATCCCAGGCACCAAGTAGCAGAGCAGTGGTTCTTGAACTCAAGGTCAGGTCCAAGGTGCCTCATTCACTCAAATGAGGAACATTCAAATAGACCCTCAATAGATTTTCCCCTCCTAAGGGTGGGTGCTCATGGGCCAATTTCATGCTGAACACTGAAGAAAAACAGCGAATTCTCAGTAAACAGAACCAGTATCTTTATCTTAAAAATTAGTCACTGTGATCAGGAGGCCATCTCCAGAACATCAGCCAAGGCAAACCAACTCAATTAAAAAAAAAAAAAACACCAAAAAATTGTATTTAGCATCTGTGATGGAACAAGATTAAGTCAACTAAGTAAATCATACTCTATGTCCAAAGGCAAACTACTAACTTATGCCACAAACTAATAATAAGTCCCTTTTGTTCTTTCTTGAGGTACTAGGGCTTGAACTCAGGATCTTGTGCTTGTTAGGTGGTGCTCTATAGCTAAGAAACCACCAGATGGGTACCACAGCCATAGTGCTAGAAGGAAGCTGCCATAAATTCTTAAAGATTACTTTAACAGTGAAAGTTATCTGTAAGATAAAACAAGCAAAAAGACTCTGGTCCTTACTTACATTAAAAAAAAATTTTTTGGCAGGGCATCCAGGGCTGATGTCAAAATCCTAGCTACTCAAGAAGCTGAGATCGGAGGATCAACATTTAAAGCCAGTATGACCAGAAAAGTCTATGAGACTCTTATCTCCAATCAACCAGCAAAAAGCTGAAGTGGAGATGTGGCTCAAGTGATAGAGCACTAACCTTGAGAAAAAAGCTAAGGGGCAGTATCCAGGCCCTGAGTTTAAGGCCCATTACTGGCTTAAAAAGAAGAAGAAGAAGAAAAAAAAATATTCTTGCTTCATTTTTCACTTCATAAGCACAATAATTGGGTACTGATGTTATCACATGACATGGCGCCTCTCTCAAATATTGTTACAACATCAGCACATTGCCTGTCTGACATGAAAAAAACATTTTAAGGCATGGAATGATGGTTCAACCTGTAATCTCAGCTACTTGAGAGGTAGACACAGGAGGATGGGTATATCCTTTAGTGCCTTTACAGAGCTGTATGATCATCCACATCATCACTCCTCCTCAAAGAAATCTCCAGCCCCATTAGCAGTAATTCCCATGTTCTTCTCCTCCAGGCCCTAACAACCACCAATGCATTCTGGATATTTCATATAAATATAATAATATATGACCTTTTGTGACTGGCTTCTTTTACTTGGTATGTTTTTGAGGTCATTCATTTTTATAAACAAATGTCAGTAATTTATTCCTCTTTTATGGCTGAATACTCTGTGGCAAGACCATGGATAAACATCTGTTTATCCATTTGATTATTTGATGGATATTTGGGTTATTTCTACATGGGGCTATTCGGAATACTGATGCTATGAATATTAATCTTGTATATTAAGCATATATGGATAAGAGTGGAACTGCCAAGTCATATTTTATCTCTTCAATTTTCTTTTCTTCTATTTTTTTTTTTTTTGTGGAACTACTACATTGTTTCCATAGTGGCTACCCCATTTTATACTCCTATTAGCAGTGAAGGGTTCCAATTTGTCCACATGCATGCCAACACTTCATCCCTCCCTCCCTCCCTCCCTCCCTTCCTCCCTCCCTTCCTTTCCTCCTTCCTTCCTCCCCCCCCCCTTTACTTCTTACTTTCTTTCTTTTTTTGGTCAGTCATGGGGTTTGAAATCAGGGCTTGGGTACTGTCCCTAAGGTTTTTTGCTCAAGGCTAGTGCTTTACCACTTTGAGCCACAGCTCCACTTCCAGTTTTCTGGTGGTTAATTAGAGAAGAGTCTCAGAATTTTCTTGCCCAGGCTGGCTTTAAACCAGGATCCTCAGATCTCAGCCTCCTGAGTAGCTAGGATTACAGGCACTGCATTATCTGTCTTTTGACAGGAGCCATCCTAGCTAGTGTGAGGTTTCTTCCCATTTTACAAATTAACAGTAACAATCATAGCTATCATTGCATAAGACTCCTAAAGTACATCATTTCGCTTAATATCTATCTCAAAGTTCTAGGAATTCATGTTCCCATTTTATGGAGGAAGAAGCTAAGGCTCCTAGAGTCTAAGGATGTGACAGGGTGGAGGCATACCATCTCCCTCTGCTGCATCATGCCCAGAACACTGCCCACAGCAAAGGGATCCATTCCTTCACGATCAAGTTTCCTATTTTAGTAAGAAGGGAGATATAGTACCCAACAGGACCCTGGACAAAGGTTCTGACATATCTTCAATTGCAAGAAACAGGAATGGTCCATAGAGAAGACAAACAGCTCTAGAAGGAGGGTACTGTCACACATTATTCAGAATGGCTAGTATTTAACACCATCACCAAGGATCCAGTGGTGAGGAGGGGGAAGACAAGAGTTCCTGCACACTGCTGAGTTATCTGGGGGACAGCCCATCCATGTCACCCAGCATTTTACCCAACAGAAATAAGCATCTATTATCTACCTGAATGTTCCAACAGCCCCAGGCTAGAAATGACCAGGATGCTATCTTCCTAACACTGGGTGAGGAAAGTATGGTACAGCCATGCAATAAGCCCCAAGCAGTGAAGACTACCCCAATCCAGGCAGCAACCAGGCTGTCTCACAAAGTAATGCTATGTGAACACAGAGAACAAGCATTGTAAAGCTCCATGGATACTAAGTTGAAAAGTAGGCAAGGTTAATCTATGACATCAGAAGCCTCTAGAAGACCCAGAGCATATGATGCCCACCAAACTCCCCCCTGGGCCTGAATCCAGGGCCTAAGTGCTGTCCCTGAGCTTTTTTTACTCAAGGCTAGCTTGAGTACAGCTCCACTTCCAACTTTTTGGTGATTGACTGGGAGCCGGTGGCTCATGCCTGTAATGCTAGCTACTCAGGAAGCTGAGATCTGAGAGGATGGCAGTTCAAAGCCAGCTGGGGCAGGAAAGTCCATGAGACTCTTATCTCCATAACCACCAGAAAACTGGAAGTGGCACTCTTGCTCAGGTGGTAGAACGCTTGTCTTGAGCTAAAGAGTGCAGGGATAGCATCCAGGCCCAATGTTCAAGCCCCACAACTGACCGGGGGGTGGAGGGGGGGAGGGAGAAGAGCCTCACAGACTTTCGTGCCCCAGGTGGCTTTAAACTACACTCCTCAAATCTCAACCTTTTCAATAGCTAGGATTACAGGCGTGAGCCACTGGCTCATGGCTAGCACATGATTTTTTGATCTGTGAGTGGCTGCATGAGTGTGTCCACTGACAAATCATCTTTGTAATTTCTGTACTTACCTTACACCTCAATGAAAGACTTCTGGTAAGCTCCCACGTGAGGGCTGCCACTGGAATGCATACCACTGTATGTGCCTCATTATAGGCAAATTACACTTCAATTTTAAAAATGAGGATTGTAACAAAAAGAATCATCCATATGTCAGTCACTTCAGAAATGTGTACTCCTTGGGAGATCAGAGGCATCAGATCTACCTCACAGTGAACTTCCCCAATCCCAACAGCAGGTGATGAGATCTCCATGCAGAAGTGCCCACCAAACTCCCAAACAAAGAAAGAATCTTCTAGAGAGGTGAACAGAACCCTTTGTCTTCTTTCTTGGATCTAATTCAGGCCACATCTCAAAGCCAAGATATTAAAAGGGGTTCCAAATGGACTTAATACCACCCACCCTATCCCTATCAAGAACAGTGGCCACAGTGACTTGGCTTACTATGGGAAATCAGTTGGTGCTGTGGAGAAGTACTTTTCCCTAGAACCAGACACAGTAGGCAGTGGGTCTAAATGTCCTTTTCAAAAGCCTCTGAGGGTGCCTGGAAAAGGCCGATCCTTCACCTCTTTCACCGGAGCCTAGTACACAGCTCTTGAACACAGTTCAGAGCTGGAGTCAGCCCTGGAGCCAGTAGGGAGGGCTGGACCCACTAGATAGGGAGAAAAAATTCACCAACTCCCTCAGAACTGTCGAATCACCTCCAGGTCAATGCCTCACTTTGGCCAATGACTAATCACTCCAGTTTACAGAAGCTGGTGGAAGCTTGAGCAGGAGACAAGGGCAGGGCCATCCAACCAGACATGGTTTTGGGCAGGGCAACACTCTTTGCAAAAGAAGAGCCAGGCCTATCCTGGGGATGTTGTACTGGCACCAAGTCCATTCCTGATCTTCATGGTGGGTACAGGGATGAAGAAAGTAAGCCCATGCTTAATAGAGAGCAGATACTCAGATCTGTAGAACAAATGAAGGACAGACAAAGGGACATAGCTGGAAGATGATAGGTACCATACTCAAAGGAGGTAAATGGAGATGATGATGAATCAGATGCTGGAGCACTGAAAGTACAGAGTAGGGCTAGGTGACTCTAGAAGTATAGGGAGCTCTGGGATGCTAGGTAGGCTGGTCTTGCAAGTTCCTGTGGGATATCTAATCTTTCCTGCCAGTGGAAAGATCATACTGCCAGTGACCATGTGGCAAGTACAGCTCCTACTTCCTAGATCTGGTCTTACCCAATGGTCCCTGGGCTAATGAACACTCTACATCGTATCCATGGTACACAGGGTCCTGCCACAGGCTAAATCACAAATGATAGATGGAGTGAGAATGTTCAAGATCCCCAAGTAGAAACTGCATAGAGATGGACTGCCCACTTGTCTTCTCACAGAATTATTCCATAAGCAGAGACACTCCTGAGACTATTTAATTGCCCCAGATATGGCCTGGGCTTCAGTATGATAAAAGTCCTAGATGATTTTATGTATAGGCAGGTCTGGGCACACAGGCCTGCCAATTCATCAAAGAGAAACCAGAGACAGATTATAAGAGACTCTCATCACACTCACTGGCTGTTCTTATCATCCACACTGGGTAAGGGTACTCCAGGAAGGACCTCCCCAAACAACACCCTCCTCCCATTGTTCAAAGAGACTTCCTGAACAGACACAGGGAGCAAATGGCATAGGCTTCAGAGCCTTTAGAAAGAGACAGTGATCTTATCTGATCTTGACAACAGTCTTGCAAAGTAGAACCTGTCACCTCCACTTCACTGGTAATCAAACTGAAGCTCTACAAGGTCAGATGACTTACTGAGTGGCACCACCAAGGAGTCTCACACAAAAAAAAATGATAATAATAATATATAAATAATTCACCCTTTGAGAAAGGGTGACTCCCAGAACAGTGGATAGGGAGTGCCAGGGAATTGCTGAGGAGTCTAGATCCTAAGGCCCTCCCATTAGCAGATGTCTGCAAAGGCTGCAAAATCCCTGAGAGAGGATAGGGATCTCCTGGGAATCAGAGCCAGGTGGGCACAGTACATATCTACTTCTACCACACTCCACTGCTAAGCATGCCTCCCTTGTTTATCAGGCCACATGCAGGAGAAATACTTTGCCCCAGGTTCCTCCAAAGACCCACCTATCCTACTCATGGCTAGAGACCCAGGAAGATAGTCCATCCCCTTCCTGCTATATAGTTCCCTTTCCTCTAGGAGTCCCACGCTTGTAGCTATAGGGGTCACTAGAACACCTAGAGAATATTAACACAGGGCTGTGATGTCTGTTAATTGGTCCCTGACTACCCATGATCCCCACTCTGTGAGGCCAGTAACAATCTGCAGTGGCTGTCCCATTGCCAACTGAGAACCCCAGCTGCCCTGGGCAGCGTCCAAATACTAAGCTGCTTTTAGAAAACTGGGGATTCGTCCCTGGGCAGGAGGGATTTAGCTGGAATTGGGTGCCATTTACAGAAGATTACACCCTAATTGCCCTCACATCAGCAGAGAGGCTTTTGGCCAGCTGAGCCCTGGGGCTGACAGGGTTCCCCATAGACCCTGGCTCACCTGCCCAAGGACAAAGAGCTCACTTCTGGGACTTGGGGACCAGCTATAAGCAGCTGATTGCCCTATTACAAACCTTCATTCAGCAGCCTGGGTCAGACAGGAGGGGTGGCCTAAACCCTC